GCTAAATACAGTCACACAGAGTCAGTTTTGAATCATTTATTGAATTTCTTTGGGCGGGGGGGGCTCAGTATTACCAGCTGTTCTGTTGCATTGCTATAGGAAATACATAGATACCGTTTTCTTGATATGTTTGCTTTTAGTATAAACCATGATATTCATCTGACAGAGACATGACATTTTTTGCGATACCTAATTTCTGAGATTCTTATGGAAATGTGCATAAAATTGTGATTAACAAAAAATACTTTCTTGCACAACTCATCTTTCTCTCTATTTTTCATTGCCACCTCCATCCTTAGTATTTGCTTACTCCCAAGTTACCTTTGCAATCAAAACACGCAAGAAATTTCAGTTTCAAGTGTTATTTTCTTTTAAAGGATAGAAAATGGAAGGTCTTAGAATTCTAAAAGCTTTATACTTGCAACTAGCATTTTTAATACAATGCTGCAAATGCTCAACATGCATAAGCTATCATTTGCTTTATCCCCAAGGCAGTAAGGAAATTCTTACGTACAGCACATTTCTCTAGTTCAATAGCAGCCTTTCCTTTTGTATAACTGTAATCTTTTTAATGTGTAGAATTGTGTCTTGATAAAGCCTTATTGAAGTATGGAATACATATCATTAGCATGTATGTGTTACTTGAGATTTGAAGCTGCCTTTTTTACTTTTTCAGCTCTGAAAAGTCTATTTAAAGGTCATTGTCTCTATCTACCCCACTTTATACGTTTTTGTGCTGCTGTTTTGCAATTTTGAGTAAGAACTGTGCAGAGTGATGCTTTCTGTATACTTTTCCAGGCAGTGTTAGTCATCAGAAATGTCGTCAGTTATAAGAAGACTCTTAGCAAAGTGGAGTTGCACTGTTAGGATTTCTTTAGCTTCAGTGTTTCTCTGCTGTGTTTTTATAACTGATGATTTCTCAAGAATCTGCAAATCAAAAGACAACCATTTTTCCCCAGTCATAAATGCTGCCTTTGCTAGGAAAATTCCTCTCGCCTGGGAGCTTCAAATGACCAAAACCATTGTGCAAAACAGCAAAATATAAGTACTTTTCTTGGCCGACATGTTGACCTAAACAATAATTAGCTGAGCAGTGTGTCTCACTGCAGGCTGCACACAAGAAGGTACTTCCTTCTGGTGCTTATCATCAATCTTGCTGATTAGTCAAACCTTTCATCTTATCTATTGCTTTACTGAATTCCTCTTGCTTCTCTCTGCATTCCCATCTGGATCCCACGCTGTGCCTCCGTCTTGTTACGTGTTGTTTTTCCAGCAGCACAGCGCAGACACACGGTGGAATGGAAATCAAAGGGAGAGCTGCTTGGCTTGGTTCAAAGGCATGTGTCTGCAAGCCTGTGCCGGGTTTCCTCTCCCGCTTCGTTCCGATGGGACAGTGGGACGAGTAAACAGCAGGCGATCCCGTCGGTGCATGGACCAGGGTTTTGGTTGAGGGTAATAACTCACACTTTTGCCTTAAGGCTTGAGCAAATGTTGAAGATTCTTCCATTTTTCATAGATGATAACATGGTTTGGCGCAGTGTGCTGCACTGGGGTAAGTGAGGAGGAAAACCTGGGTCCTTTACTCTTAGTCACCTGGCTGTTAGATAATCTGTTCTTATTTGAGCAGTCAGGACGGTTTTATGTAATTACATACACACTTTAAGGGAGAAAAATTCTTCAAGAACATGGATGTTATCTATTGAAAAGGTTAGAAAATCAAACCTCTTGTTTATTTAAAAACTGGATGCCTCCCAATTCCATTCCCTCTTTCTTACTCCTCCCCAACACCCTACTGTCATTACATTACTGCCTCAGTTTAATTTTTCATGGCCTGTATATAACACCACTGCTTAGGACAGGAATGGGGAAACTACTGCATTATATCCTTGGCCTTAAGGCTAATCAGGTGAATTAGGAGTCACTGGAGTAGCAGTTTTCTTGGTAGCTAAACGTGTTTGCAATTTGATGTCACAGTGCTGTTTAGGAATGATTGCTAGGAAGACTGTATATGCAAGTTTCCATATATTTTAAAGCCTTGTACTGCATAAAAAAAGGTAGGGGAGAGGGTGGGATCTGGCAGTGAGGTTTTTTTCCATGCTACCTCCCTGTTAATGACCAAAACCACTCTTCCTAAGGAGCTGCTGACCTGGGAAAGTCTCAGCAGGCTTCCCAAGTGAGCATTTATTTTGCTTCTCGTTTCCCTTCTTTCCGCCTACGGACTCTGCTGTAATGAGAACACAAGGACTGAATAATTTAGGCCTGGTGTGTGATACCACACAGTAAAATGGTTTAGCACGGTACGGGCTTTGCATAAACTAATTTAGGCGTGGTGTCTGGGATATATAAAACATACAAAAGGTCTGTGGGGAGAGGTAAGATCAATTGGAAAATGCCAAAACCACAGTACAGCTTTCCTAATCTCTATGTATTTTTACTCTGTCCTATGGAGCATTTGCATCCTCAGAGTTGTAAATGGTATGGTACGGTAAAAGGCATCTTCGTTTCTGCTTAGAGGGCTTTTGTTGTTGCCGTGGCCATTTTTATGGATTTGATTTCAGATCAAGTATTACAGTGTGTCTCCAGTTGGAAGGGACCCATAAGGATCATCAGGTCACACTCCCTGCTTCTCGCAGGACTACCTGAAACTAAACCATATGGCTAAGAGCATCATCCAGATGCTCCTTGGACTCTGACAGGCTTGGTGCCGTGACTGCTTTCCCGGGGAGCCTGTTCCAGTGACCGAGCACCCTCTCAGTGAAGAACCTTTTCCAGTGTCCAACTTGAGCCTCCGCTAACGCAGCTTCATACCATTTCCATGTACCTTCCAGAGGAACCGAATGCTTTGGCACCATTTGGTATTTGGCAGCATTCGGTATGAAAAGATGTCCTCTATGTAACACAATGGCAAGTGTGTAAATGAAGCCCTGACTAGTTCAATTTAAAATACTGGTTTTGCACCAATGGAGTGAAATGCATTGCAGCAATAGAGATGATTAAGTGCCACAAGAAAGCACAGTTAAATTACTTAGGTTATTTTTTTAGTTACTTTAACATTGACCTTTATTTTTTCCTGCAAATAATTTGTTTAAACACAGATAGCCTCGATTAATAAAGCTGTACTGATACTGCTTGACACTGCAGATGTGGGAATGTGATATGTGCATAGATGCGCATAAAAGTTGTGGTCAGAGTTTAGTTTTGTTTACAGAAGGTTTTTATCAAGTACAGTGTGTAAATTTGAAAAGATTTGCTGAGACTGCATTCTGGGCATTTCTTTTCTTAATTCATATAACCACTTCCCGTATTCAGTTATCTGGATATCATTCATTATCTGACTATCTGAGACTCATTAGGTCCAGATTGCAGAAGCATGTTAGTTATGCATGCTCCATCTGTGTAGTTCATTTGAAAATAAAAAGTATCTACCCCACGACACAGGTTACAGATCTTTAACAATACAATTAACATCCCTATCCAATCAAGAAGAGATTATGCTGCTTGATTAATGCATTATCCAGGATTTCTGACTTGGGAAGTTGATTTATAAATTGGTGGCTTTAATAAGTGATTTTCTGGCATATGCTCCTTGTAAGATATTGCCATGAACAGAAGCGGAAGGAGTCCTCATAAAGAGGAGCTGAAATAAAGTGCAAGAATAACATGCCATCAATCAGCAGCAAAGGGAAAACAGACTTTGAGAACTGTGGCGAGCAAAGCACAGGATGGGATGCTGTGATGTTTTATCTTTGATGTGGAGTATCTACCTGCAGGTTTTCTGATGGGATACAAGCTAGCCAAGTACAGTGGTAAGGCAGTGTCACGATCCTCTGAGCCCTGCTGAAGAAGGGAGCATCGTGGGCATGTGAGGGAACTGGAGCCCTGATTTTTTGTCCTTCTGTCTGAACTACTGTACAAAAGTATTTTGTGATATATTGTGAACTATTATGTGGTATGTTCTATAGGAAATTGTGCCCAAAAAGCCAAGAATGTTTATGGAAGATAATGGCGTGTGACCCCTGAGCTGCAGACTCAGCAGCAGTTTCATTTATTTAACTACATTACAATGTCAGTTTGATGTCAGGCTATAAATCTTCACAGTTGTCGTGTGTATTAATACAAACAAGTGGATATACGTCAGGTTTGTCTATAATCAAATGTAAAGAACAACTTTGTGTTTTTTTATTAATAATGAAAGTGATAAGGTATGTGTAATAAAGCCCTCAAAACATTATTTTCTGCACAGTACACATGGTTAACGTGTAGGAAGGGCATCTGCCTACATAATGCAGCTTTCTTTTATCCGGCAGTGCATTGCTGACATGTTTGTCCATAGAGGCAGCACCTTCCCTTGAGCAAATCGGTGTTGCAGTGATTAAGGATATTATAGTGAGAGCCATGGTTTTAAACAGAATCATAGAATGGTTTGGGTTGGAAGGGCCCTTACAGACCATCTAGTTCCAACCCCCCTGCCATGGGCAGGGACACCTTCCACTAGACCAGGTTGCTCAAAGCCTCGTCCAGCCTGGCCTTGAACACTTCCAGGGATGGGCCATCCACAGCTTCTCTGGGCAACCTGTTCTAGTGCCTCACCACCCTCTTCGGGAAGAATTTCTTCCTGACATCCAATCTAAACCTACCTGGTTTCAATTTAAACCCGTTACCCCTTGTCCTGTCACTACTTGTAAAAAGACCTCCTCCATACTTTGTGACAGCATCGACCCTGTTCTTGCTTTCTGGAAAGCTTTTCTAACTCAGGTGACTTGAATTTTGCAAAACTGTAGCCATTCCATATTTGGATTTATTTATTTAGATTATGCATTCTTTGCTTTCTGTCCAAAACTCCTTTCACAGGGTAACTAAGTGCTCTTAATCAGAGGTGAGGACAGGTGAGCAGTAAATAAAATGTTGTGTCTAACCCAGTTAAAAAATATTTTGGAATAACAGACACTGCGGAAGTATCAGAGTGAATTGTTACTAAAGCTGTGTTTTTTAACGTTTAGGCTGGGCGATGCAGGTTGCTGCCTTTGTTTTCATTCAGAGAAGGTGGGAAGATGACAAGAGTCACTTTGAAAAAATGCTGGATTATTTCTGTGACATTCGTGAACCACTACAACTCCTCATCTTCCCAGAAGGAACTGATCTCACAGGTAGGCTGCATTTGCCACCTTCTCGTGGAATGCTCAACGTGAAAATTCTTTGTTGTTTATGGAAATAATTAAAAGTTGAAGGCAGGAGCCAGGCTGTGTTCTCACGGACTGTAGAAATTCTAGGTAAGGATCATACATGCCTGTACGTTTGAGAGGCACAAATGTAGTTCCACTGAGAGGCTTTGCCAGTCTTCCTGAAATAACTGTTAGGTTTCAAATCACCTGATGATTGAAATGGCTTTATATTGGTCAGTACTGTATGTACATTGCATTAGCGAAAGTAGGTTTCAAGATCTGGAATAAATCACTTGCATGTTCCCATTTTTCTTATTACCGGGGCAAATAGTGCAAAATAATTTCAGACCTGTGGAAGAGTGATTGACAAGGAGACCTAATGATTCTGTTAGGTTTCTTGCCCAGTGATATAAGAGGAGAAACTGGAGATACTTATTTCTTAGCCCATATAAGCAGTCTGTCTCTAAGAAAAATATTTCCATAAAACAAATGTTGACATTATTATAATAGTAAATTTAATGAGTTGGGTCCTATAGCATTAATTCTTAATAAAATAGCTACCTTAATGCAGGTATCTTAAGGCATGAGTAGCAAGGTGCTAACGAGTGCTGAGGACGACTAATTGCCAATAAAAGACAATGTTGTATGCATGTTCTGTGGTTCTTCATGTCTGCAGCATGATTTGATAAGCATCATCTTTAAACAGAAAATCAATTATAATTAAGCTTCCACCTTTTAGCTTATTTAAAAGATACTATACTTTCTGTGGCAGATATTCTAAGGTCATACTTTATTGCAATACCTGATCAGTAAGTACTAGACACAGTATAAAAATAACCAGCATATGTTGCTATCTTTTCCTTCTCTATTCCCTATATCTTTAAAATATTGATATATATAGTATTCAGATGCTATCACACTGCAGGGAATTGTCATCACTTGATCAGCCTTCCTTAAAGAGGATGAATTCATTGCACATTCTTGGACTGCTTTACATGATATCTCTTGTTGAATTAGTTACCTCATTACCTAAAGCTAGGAAGAAGGATGGAAACTACCTCACTTTAAATTCTTTTTTCTTTGAATTCATGAGCAATTGTTCCTTCCTAGCTCTGAATTATGAGATGAAATCTTAATCTTATTCATGGAGTCAGGAGACTCCGCGGATCGCTCACACTCTCTTTCTGAACAGGTGTTTCCATCTCAAGATAACTGAAAGATTTGGATTGTTTCTAATTTATTCCATAAATTATGTATACCTTCTAATCCATCCCAGTACTCCTTAGAGACAACAGATTTTAAAGAACTGAGAAAGTTTCGTACTGCAGTTTTAAAGAAGGCGGCTCATCGGAGGACTGGGACAGCCACGGTGTGTTAGCACTTGTGCTGCTGAGTCCCAAAGGCAGCGGTGGGGTGCTCCCACCTGAATGTGGAACTGCCTCAGGAAACGCAGGGTTTTCTCTCTGCTGTTGAAACGTGTGTAAATGACTTGGACTAAATTTAGGTATATGCATATACTTAATATTAAACTAAGAAATTAATGCAGACAAGATTCTTCACTTAATATTAAAAAATCTCTAATTGGATTTCTGAACACAGATTTTTGACTTTTTTTTTTAAAGTTATTTCTGTTGCTCTGGTTTTCCTTCCTCATAGGTGTGTAACACGTACTCTGTAACCTTGGAGTGTCAAATGGATGTCGGCACTAACTGTGCTGGTGTTCTGAAGTCAGTGTAAGCCACCTCAGATGTGCGGTGATCGTGGCCCCCCGGTATGCTGTGCCAGCCTGGGGAGGAAGCTGCATACTGGGAAGGATGGAGTGATAGGCAGGGAAGACATAGGGCGCTGCTTCCTCAGGCACCTGTGCTGACTTCCGATATTAAACTGTCCAGTGTTTACCACTCTCACTTTCCATCATCAATGAATGCCACCTTGACATTATATTTGTGCATAATAAGATGTAAAGAGACAGGCAAAGCCCTGAGGCTTTTTCTGTGGAAGTAAATACCTGTCCCTATCTAATTGTCTTCACAGGAAACGTTAGCTCATAGATTTTAGGAGACTGGGCAAAATTCCTTGACAAGCTAATCCTGACCAAGCAATACGCTTATGCCATCTGTGAATGATAGAACATAATAATGTGATTTGTGTAGCATTTGGAAAAATGGTTTGCAGAAAACTGCTATGTTACTGACCTATTAGGACCTATTGCAACCTCATCTTTCAGAATAAGAAATAAACCAGTTTTGTTCTGAATGGTCTCTCAGTATCCCTGAGAACATTTGCAAAACCAGAGGCAATGGGTTTTGGTTTTGACCAAATTCCAAAACTGCTAATTACTTCTGAAGACAAAATTCTTCTAGTGCTTAAAATGAAAAATAACATTTTACATGTACTTCGCTGAAAAGCAGAATTGCTGTGCAGCTCTGTGCTGCTATCAATTTTTTCTTATCCTCTCAGTGGCTGCCTGACAATGATAGATTCATTCCTCTCTATAAAATATTGTATAATGTTTTCAGGTGTTATTGAACGAAAGATTTCAAAGAAATAAAAAGTATGACTCTATTTATACGTGGGCCACTGCGAGACCGCATGTGCAATTACTTTGCAGTCAAAGATGCTATGTAAATGAAATCTTAAGAGTAATGTCATGAACCCTGAACAATGTATTTGCAGACTGGATGTATAGGGTCTGAGGTAATAATTATATACTTATTTCTGATAGGTCGGTCATCTTTTCACTCTGGAGTACTTCAAGGTTAAAGCTAAGTGCACCAAAGGTATTTTATTGTAATTGCTTAAAAAGAAGCCCTCAGCAGATAACCATATAGCCAGACTTTCTGAAGCCCTGGAGAAAACTAAACAACCGGAAGTCTGGTGCTTCTGGAAAGCTGGAATACGACCCACCATTTCGCTTGTTCTGTTGTTTTTCTTGGTATTCCTTACAAGCCACTTGGTAGTAATTCTTCAGAAAGCAATAACAATAAAAAAGTTGCTGTATTGCTCTGCGCCTGTTAAAGCCTCATTTCCTATGGATGTGTGTCTGCATCCCTAACCATGGTCTTTTCTTCACTCCAACTTTCCCTTTTTCCTTGTGTTTCCTTCTGTGTGACGTTTCCTCAACAAATCTCTTGCTGCTCTCTCGGCAAGAGGGATTGTGTGTTGTGGCTCATCCTCACCAATACTCGCCTTAGGTGACGGAGCACCGCATGCTGTGCTGAAAGCCCTGACCGACTACATACCCGTGGAGCCTACCCTGGCTTTTCCCGTTACTAAGACCTCCACTCTTGGAGGCTCTGCTTTACTCAGCTGTTGGTTTTTCTACAACTCCAGTGGGGCTTAATTATCTTTGAATCTCTTGTCTCTGTCAAACTTTGTTTGCAGGTGGCAATAGTTTCACAAGTTAAGGGGAACAGGTGGACAGAGTGTGATTGCACAGACCTTTTTTCCTTGAGGAACAGCTCAAAAACAAGTAGGAAAGCTTGCTAAAGACCAGATTTTGGCAGGAATACTATGTAGATCACATAAGGTAATCCATCTAGACGGTAACAGTTGGATTTTCTCTTTCTACTAAATGTGATGTGCTTTAGTAACACAAAAAAAAATTTGTTCAAAAGCACTGGTAGAGGTTGATTTAATGTGTAGTAGTTTGAAAGCAGCTCAAATAAGAACAATTGCTTAAGTTTTCTTTAAAATATTAAGTACACATTATAGCTTCTATGCAAACCTCTAATAGATAAATGAGTGGGGTTTTTTTTTGAGAGAGATTTTTGAAGTACTTGTTTATTCTTTCACTGTATGGCACCAATATAATTTGAGAGTACTTGAAATCATCGAAGTACACATGTGCTTTAATCACAGGTCCGATTAAAGGAAAAGGTAGTACTTTAATACTCAAATTTCAGTGCACTAGTACTAGCAATAATAAAAAAGTAGTTGAGAGTTGATCAGAAAGAGTGGTATTAAAGGTCCCTTCCCACCCAAACCATTCTGTGATTCTGTGTAAGCCTGCTTGTTTGAGAGGAGCTAATACTGCATGCATGTCTCACAGGGAACACAGGCTCTGCTTTTCGCTGGGTACAGGTCTTGGAGTTTTAGTTCCAAATATTCTTCAGGCTGACACGGATGCAGCCTGTTACTTCATGGTGGCTTTTGTCAGTCAAATTCAAGAAATTTTTGGTTTAATTCAAAACCAGCTCACAATTTAAAAATATAAATTTACTTAAAAATAAGTTCACTTTATCATCTGGTTTTCAGGGGCAAAAGCAAGTTAACTTCTTAAAAATCTGTAACTCAAAAATGAAGAAAACGTGTTAGCAGAATTTCTTCCTCCAGTAACTTTAATTGAAATTTTGAAGTCTGGTGCTTCTAGAAAGTGCTGACTTTCTGAGCTTTTCCAGTAATTTAAAAATGTGATAAATGGGATTTGCCCACCTAATTTTGAGATAAATGGGAAAAAACCGTAATCAAATGATTTACCAAAGCCAGCACAGGAGCAAAAACCATCTAAGAGGTTACGGCCAGAGCCCTTAAATTCTTGTTCTTTTGTGTAGTTTGACACTTGCTCTGCAGTAGCGTCTAAAGACTGAAATAAATTGGACTTCTTGTACTCCTACCACCGCAAAGAACATACCCTCTGAGAGGCAGTATGTATTTGCTGAAGGAGACGGGAGAGGACAGGCAAATTGGTGCAGGAGCAGAGGAGATGGACTACAAAGCAGTTCTGGATCAGGAAAGTTCCCACATCACCCTCTATTAATAAACTGGCAGCTTTCCATAGAAATGGATTATTCTACTTACTTTTTTTTTATCATAGAAGCAGATAGAACCAAGGAGTTAAAATGCAAAATATACCTAATAGGAATGATGAGCAAAAATTGTGGGGGTAGATTTACTTCAGCTTTAAATACAGTGTAAGAAGAAAATACTTATCATAGAATCATAGAATGGTTAGGGTTGGAAGGGACCTTAAAGATCATCTAGTTCCAACCCCCCTGCCACGGGCAGGGACACCTTGCACTAGACCAGGTTGCTCAAAGCCTCATCCAGCCTGGCCTTGAACTCTTCCAGGGATGGGGCATCCACAACATCTCGGGGCAACCTGTTCCAGTGCCTCACCACCCTCTCTGTGAAGAATTTCTTCCTGACATCTAATCTAAACCTCCCTGATTTCAATTTATACCCATTACCCCTTGTCCTATCACTACAGGCTCTTGTAAAAAGTCCTCTCCCAGTACCCTTGTAGGCCCCCTTCAGATACTGGAAAACTGCAATGAGGTCTCCTCGGAGCCTTCTCTTCTCCAGGCTGAACAAGCCCAGTTCTCGCAGCCTTTCGTCATAGGAGAGGAGCTCCAGCCCTCTGAGCATCTTCGGGGCCTCCTCTGGACTCGCTCCAAGAGGTCAATATCCTTCTGATATTGAGGGCTCCACAGCTGGACGCAGCACTCCAGAGCAGAGTAGAGGGGCAGAATCACCTCCCTCGACCTGCTGGCCACCCCTCTCCGGATACAGCCCAGGATACGGTTGGCCTTCTGGGCTGGCAGCGCACACTGCCGGCTCATGTCCAGCTTTTCGTCAAAAAAACTTGTTCTAGAAAGGATCGCTTACTCATATTTTTCAGAGAGGGGGCATTACCCTTAGCCAAATGTTGTGAGTGACCTTTAGGGATTGGGGAAACCTAAGCTGAGTTCATTTCCAGTGCCTGCTTCAAGAGCTGCTTTATGCAATTTGTGTGTTAGTGGGTTGGAAGCAAAGAAGAGAACATATGTTTCCTCTCTTTAAGGAAGTGTTTTCACTATCAGGCTTACAAAGGCATCTTGCACTTTTTTTTATTCTTTCACCTAAGAATGTTTTAATCTGGGCTGCAGAAGGATAAGGCATCTGTGGAAGTTTTGCAGCACTTGGCAGTGTAGCCTGCTCTGTTGATTAAGAGATTTCAAAGAGGTGTTTGTGTGAATTCCCTTAGGTTGGAGACGATATAAAAATAGGTTTCTGATTTCCTGGATCAGTTTTCTGACTGTAATGGGGAACATCACATTGTCTGCCTTCTGTTGGATCCAGTGCTGAGCAAAAGACCCTCTGAATTTCCCACGGAGCATTTAGGCAACAGGTGTCTGGCACAGGGATCCCAAACAGCAGTAGGCACCAAGGTGCTTACACTGGAGAAGATGCCAATCAGTGCATTTGGTTGTAAGTAATAGCAGAGTAAGAAACTGAAAGTAGCAGAAGAGGGAGGAAGGGCGTTATTCTCCCATTTCGGTAGTGAAAGCACATCCTACCCTTGCTACCAGGATAGCATCAAAACCCGTTTGACCTTCCTGACTTGCGATGGTAAGTACTGTTTAATGCACGAAGACCTGTGGTCTGATAGTCGTTAGGAAGGGAAGCGGGAGATGGTATTTCCAGATGACGATGATCATTGTCTTAGCTTGGAGCGTTATTCCAGCTCTGAAATCCCATTACACTCAGGTCATGCAAAAGGGGAAGGGAACAATCGCTGTTATAGAAAACTTACAGTCCAGAGGCAAGGCAGGGGTACATATCAGGAAATAGCTGAGCAGTGCTGGCTGGTGGTGTGCCAGTGTCCAGCTGTTCACACGCTTCCAGAAAGGCATTGTAGTAAAGGGAAATTTGGAAGATGGTTTACAGATGTTTACACTAAGTTCTTTCCAAGTGCAGGGAGGTGCACTAAGAGGAGGTTTGAAGATGACTGCTTCAAGGCAATGGAGATCCCAAACCATTTTTGCAGCATCAATTAGGTCTTGCTCAGAAAACAAAACTGCCCATTTACTGTTTGGTTTATTGTGGCTCAAGAGTGTTTTGCAGATACCAAGGGATTTTCATGCTCCCTCTGAAACAACGTGCTAGTGAGCAGACATACTGAGAGGGTTTTTCTGAAGTGCTCATTAACTGTGTGCAGTTTGAGATGCTTCAGACTTGCATTTCTTATTATTTTTAGGCTGCTTAGCTTTGAATAGACACAGCACTTGTGTCTCAAAGCTTTGATTGACTTGATTTGCAGATTGCAAATGTTCGAACGTGAAACCCAAATTTGGATGTGCAGAAAATGAAGACGACACTTCCTCAGCCCTTTGGAAGAAACAATACATTAGCTTAAAACTTTGTGATAAATTAATTTAAAGCATTTTACTTGAATCGCCAGAGAATCTGGAAAGGAACTCCTGACTTGTATACTTTTTATAGGAACACTCCTGGTGATCTACCTTGTTTTTTAGAAAATAGAGTTTCAAGTTGTTGAGCTAATAGTGCAATACAATTATGTCTAAGAGGTAGAATCCAGGCTTTTCAAAGGAACATTTAATAATTACCACATTACTCCTGCCTTTTCTGCCCTTCCAGGTCTTGCTCATGACTCACTTTGCAAGTTTTGCCATCACAGAGGTAGGGGTCGTAAAGGCAAGTTCAGTTCGCTGATTCAGCTTGGTCCTTTTTCAACATGGAATGGAGTGGTAGTTGAGCAGACAAAAATAGATACTCTGGTCATGTGGTTAAAGACATAATGTATAAGTCCAAGGAAAGATAAATTTAAGTTGCATAGCCAAGTGTAATTTTAGTGTTTCACACATTCTGTAATTTTAGCAACGCTTTTTGAAGATGTCATATTTTCAAGTATTTGTAGATTTTGGCAATTTGGCAAGAATTAAATATTTGGATTCTCTTTGCTGAATCACTGACTTGGCTACCGTGCAATAGTTTTCCTTTCCTCCAAATCACATGGTCAGGAAATCAGCGCACTAAATCTTCAGGGTTGCATGTATGAAAAGCAGTGCCCTTATGCACGGAAACCATAGGTCACAGGTCAAAAATACTTGCTGTAGTGATATGCTATAGCATTTACTAATAGGTAGATAGTCCTTTAGGAGAATTGTCCACATTTGTTGGTAAACAAAGCGTTTATGTAATTTAGGAAAAAAAGGTGCAGGACAGTTGCCTTACTGCCAGAAGGACATCTCGCACTGCTGTCGATTTGTCCACTCGTGCTATTGTTCCTTTACAGGAAAAATTATGATGGTTTTAAGGGAAAGGACTTACCTATAAGTATCAGTTCCATAAAATTATTAAGCAGCCATATGTTCTTCATTACTTTATCTTCCATCCTTGTTAAGGTTAACTGTGGACACTTAATAAGAGCTGTTTCTGCTTGAAAAAGTTTGTGTTGTTTAGGTAATGATTATTTTGTTCCATAGACCTGCTGCTGGATTCTGTCTTTTAAAGCACCTGTAAGACTGCATAAATACTAGCTATTTAATAGGTTAGTTGATCGAATTGATTTTTTTTTTCCATGTTGCCAAGGGAACATGGCATGTATCCATGGCCTTTTGGCCCCAGATGAGGCTCAGCAGACCCACATGGAAGGAGTAAGGGTAGCCAGCAAAGTCTGGCTGGCTGCTGACTGAGGCTGCTTGGAAGAGACTCCTGCACCTCACTGGAGAACAAATTGCTTCCTCTGCTTGTCTTCAGAAGTTTTCACTTCAGTGTCCACCTCTTCCGTGCTCAGTGGGCTCTGCTAGCAACTGGCTTGTGTTCGGTTTGCTTGTTAGAGAGTCTTTTTGCCCCAGGTTCGAAACCCATTTGTCGCGAGGCTTAGCCCTGCTGCTCTCCAGATGCCTGGCAAGTGCTCTGCCTATGGCAGCAAGCACGTGTTGTGACACTCGGGCAGTTGATCAGAAAATTAAAACAGGGTATGTCTGTGCAGCGCAAGTTGATGTATAAAATGTGTCAAGTTCAGAATGAAGACATAAAGTGCCATTTTAATCTATTAGATTAACTGCTTCCCTCCATTTAATGTCAACTTTCCAAAATAAGTTTAACACAGTTAAACACTGACCTCAAGGTATTACTGTAGACAATACTAAGCCTGTGTTACTATATGTTGTGCCTTTTGAGTAAAAAAAATAATTGAGCTAATTAAAGCATTTTACTGTAAATTGGTATTGAAGTGTACAGAGACCTATTAACAGACTTTAATGTATAGATTTCAGATTTCATTTGATAAATATGAAAGATGTGATGATTTTCTAAGACAAAATGAGAGGGTAAAAAGGCTTTTCTTGCAATCCACGTTGCCCTTCCTCATACCATCCTGTAGCCCGCTGCCGGCCCGTTTGCCTCCACCTGAAAAGCTCTTGCACATTCGTACTGTGTGAACTGCTGTTGTACTGTTCCTGTCATATAATGATTACATTTAATTCCCAGTCTACATGCACTCTGATAGAAAATGGTGCTTTTTATTCTCTCCTTCAGCCAATACCAAAGCCCGCAGTAATGAATTCGCTGAAAAGAACGGACTTCAGAAATACGAGTACGTCTTACATCCACGAACTACTGGATTCACTTTTGTGGTTGAGCGTCTAAGGGAAGGTAATCCTGTTCTGTATTTATATGTTCTCTTCTTCCTTTAAGATAACAAAATCTTACTCAGGCTGTAGAAGCAACCCTACTTAAAATGATCGTAACGTGGAGAGGTTTGAGAGGGTTGATAACAGGTACCAGTATCATCAGGAAATAGGTGGTGGAGGAAAACACTTTTTTTAAATTGTAGCTTCTTTAGCAGTCTACCTCAAAAGAATAGTGTAAAAGATCCCAGGGAAGTTCAGCCTTACTGTCTATACCAGCCCTTAGCCCCAGCTGGGTGCTTGGCACTGAACACCAGCATGTGTAACTCTGCCCTCTCTGAAAAGCTTCTGGGTTTAAGTCTGATTGCTGAGACAGTAAGTTGCTACGTTAAACGGACAGAGGACATGCCAGCAGCATGAAGATGCAGCAGGTCAGCTGCCCAGTGCTGCCAGCTTTTTTCAGGTGACGGTGACCTAGAGAAGCTGCGTAAAACAGGAGTCGTGCTGCCTGGCAGAATGGTGGGTAAGAGAACGTGTGATGCTTCCTTTTAACCCAGAAGTAGTCTTCCATCCCTGTGTTAATCTGAGGTAGAGATCAATTTCTTATTCTCAGGGGAATGGAGTGTAAGGATGTGTTTGCTTGTTAGACAGATGTCTGCGCGTTGTTTTGGGGTTGGGCATTGTGATGAGACCTGAGGCCATAGTGGTGTAAGCGTTAAATGATACTGATGTGGCAGTGATTCAGATACAGATGAGTGAATGTTCACAGGATGTATGGTTGAAGAAAATAGACATGTACAGTAGATATGAAGTGACTTATTTATAGGCTAATTCTGCAGGGAAAAGCGATTCTAGATCTTTAACACATGCTGCCTATTCTGACTGCCAAAGGAAGAAGTTTGGAGTTATTAAAAAGAATAAGGGCCTGCTGGTAGGCTTTTTCCCTTGCTGGAATCCTTGCTTGGATTTTAGGAGCAGATCTGGCTTGCATTTTGCCTGATTCCTACTAAGCAGATATTCTAAAATCACCATAAACACTTTAATGTTTTGTCCAGCTGGACAGTCCTAGCTGGACCGTGGATCAGTTTGGCCTTGTTTTTATTGGATGTTCAGGGGTGGACATCTTAGATTTTCATCTGTCTTGAATGTTTATTTTTCAGTTTGCTGGAGTAAAAAAATTTTCCACATAGGCAGTTTCAAACACTTGTTTTACGTAAAACTTTTCAGCACTAGGTTAGCCTAGTGCATAATAATATTTCTATCTTGGAATAAATTTTCAGTTAAAGGAATGTCTTCAACTTGAAACACTATCAAACTAAAAATATTTCAAAATCTGTACTTGCTGTTGAAACAAGCTTTGTGGTTATACAGTAATTTTCTAATTTTATAAAAATGCCTTTCTCTTGTATTGCTGTATGAGACATCTATGCAAATTAGGCTATTGGGTTGTAAAAAGGAAAATATTTGAGGCTGGTTGACTGCTTTTATGCAGTACAAAGCTAGGGAAAAACCAAAAACGTTCCTAGATGATTTTTTTTTTGTCCAGTCTTTCAAATGCTTTTAAGTCCTACTTTTATTTAAGACAGGCAAATATTGTGTGAAGAATCAATTTCCCTTTAGCATTGAATTTGCTAGGTATTTGGTACATTGATAGGCATTATAAGTGCTGTATGTTATGTCTGTATGCTGTTTTGTGTTACATTATGTGTGAGCAGGTGGTTCAACTGGCATTTTAAAATACTAAGTTTTTACTTACTAATCTAAGAATTGGTTTTCAATTGTTTGCAAGTGTGCCAAATATGGACTGTTTACATTGAAATGATTTCTTTTTTACCTTACTGTAGTGGCTTGACTTCAAAAGACTTCTGTATATTAGATGTGTGCATAGATATATATATGTATTTTCACCTGTAAAATATAGATGTCCAGGTAGCTTTTCAGATACTAATGGCACAGTTGATACCTAATGTTATCGTGCAGCTCTGGCCTGACTTATTGTTTATATTGTTAGAATGTCTTTTTTTACACTTCCAATTTCTGATACTAGAAGTAATAAAGAAAACCAGGATTGTTAAGGATATGGTATTAACATCGGGTCCCTGTTTCTGGACTGTGCTAGTGCTACAATAGTAGCAATCATCATAAAAATAGCCTTGTTTCCCTTTTTCCGGCTCATAACCGCAAGGACAAATCAGTGTGTGTGACTTTAACATGCAGAAGGGGGGTGGTGGAGATTTTAACATCATGTTTACGTCTTTGAAAGTATTTTTGTGCATAGATGACAACCTATTGCCCTATAGCTCTCCTGTGAATACATTTTGGCTCGTGGCAGTTTTCCATTCCTGAGGCTCAAGTGTCTTTACTTCAGGCCCGAGTACATTATTTTGCTCCAAAAATAGGTTGATGAAGAGAGGGGGAAAATGTCATTAGAAGTTTAACTGCTTTTTGAATGTTGAAAAAGCTAATTTAATTTGGCAAGAGTCCTGATTAATATGCATCACAAGCTGTAGCATGAAAGAATTACCTGTTATTACATAAAAATATCTATTAGCAGTCCTTCTGAATAGGAAATAAAGAATCAGGAAAAAACAGCCTTCAGTAAAATGTTGCTTGTCTTTCTGCTGGAGAGTTTCTTCCTAGAGGAAGCACTATCTGCACCCTGACAGCACGACCCAAGCAATTATCAGTCCTTGGCTTTTCATAGGTGGCAAGCATTTCTGAACCATGTGAACAGATTTTTTTGCCAGTGATGACCAACACTCAAATTCCTCTGGTTGCCTTTTCGCTCTTATATGGTCATTATTTCAACTGTTTGATCTCTTTTGCCTGTAGATGCTGCTATGATGGTTTCTAAGTCAGTGCTGAGATTATGGGAGCTAAGTAATATAAGGTCTATATAACCTCCTCCAAAAAAAAGGCAATAAAAATTGTTTAGGGCACGCATCTCCTTGGCTTTTGAGTCTCTTACATTTTTTCCCCCATTCTAGCTCTTCCTGAGCGATAGCTCTTACCCCCCTGAGCTGACTCTTCTAAACAGAAACCCAGGTAAAAGCTGGTGTTTCCTTTCGTTATGCTCAGGTGCCAAGACAGTGAAAATATTATTTTACTTGTAAATGATCACACTACTGTTTTCTCATTCATATAAACCTTAGAATCACTCAAGAGCAAACACAAACTACGAACATGCTTTAGATGCATAATTAATAATATACTCTGGAGAATAAGGACTGCAGTTGTTTCTGGTTTTTTAAGCAAGAGAAAGACATAAATTTGATTCACCATTGATTTTTGTGGAAGTCTGTTCCTTTGGCTCAATAATAGTTTTAAGTGGGATGGTTAAATGTAATGTCATTGTTTGTGCATGGTAAGAGGAAATACAGTACAGAAGTGAGAGCACAAAGAGGAAAGACCTCATGGTAGCTGGATACAGTCAGCTTGCTACCTGATACACAGTATAGAGTGTTGCAAGAAGATACGGAAGTGAGTAAGAGAGGAACAAAAATTTCAGTAAGGACTAAGGAAGACAGAAAAGTAATAACTATAATTAGACTAAATATAGATTAATGAAATATATGCATTTTTCACCCTGTAAGAAGGTCATCCTTCTTGGGAGCGATTATTGAATTTTTTGTCAATTGTGACAGTCTCTGCAACAGATAAAGCAGGCTTGTGAGATTCTTCGAGATTCTTCATTAATCTTTACTGATGAATGTTACTCAAAATAGCACAAACCGTTTTTCCTGGCATGATTTAAAGTTTGTTTGTGCAAACGTGATGACCTTAGTCTGTCAAAATACTTAAAGTGTATGAGCTCGATTAATTGTACGTCTTCTCAGTGCTGAAGCACGTTTGATCGCTTTGATCGCTTATTGTGGCAGGCAGAGGAATTACTCTGTGTAAGACATTTGTTGACCAAAGTGACCACTGCAATCCCAAGTACTGTCACATCAGGTTAGTTGGCTATCGATGGAAAGCAAGGAGAAATAAAACAGTTGATTTGCTACTTTCTAATGCTGTTCACTTGATAAAGTCCATCATTTGTCTTGCCTCAGCTGTTACGAACCCTGATTTCAGTCAGCACCTGGTGAAAAATTACTGGAGCTTAGTGCTGTACTTCGTTGGCGAACGAAGGTGAGTGTTTTTGGAAAGAGAGTCAGAACATGCAAATGAGCAACAAAAAATGAAGATGGTCATGACTTTTTTTTTTTAAACTCATCATCATTATATACCTCTCTTCAACCATCTCCTAAATTCATATTGAATCCTTTTTTAAAGCCTGATACTTTGAATAGATGTTAGGTATGGAGTCATTTTTGGTGGAACTTGGGGTAAGGCAAATCATCTCCTTTTATGAAGTGTGGGACTTGGAAAATGAGGGAAATGTGCAGGAATTTAAATAAGACATATAAGCATGCCTTTAACAGTGTTAATTAAAACCATTTATGGTTTATATAATGCTCTTGAAGATAGAGCTTGTGAGATCCTTCTATGAAAGGTCAGGAGGTTACTGAGAAATCAAGTATAAGTTTTCAGGCCTGGTTGTATTTTATCAAGTTTTTTCTGAGGTGCAAAACAGCATGGAAAGTTCAGATCGCTTGTATGTTCAGTTTCAAAGAAATGGAAAATAATGCTAGTTGATTTGATTCAATATTGTCTGGATTCATTGAATTACATATATTATCTTGGCATAATATCTGTAATTGTAGCCAAATAGTCTGTCAAGAGAAAATAGCTGTTTATGATTGTTTTCTTAAAATTGCTTCATGGCTCTTGAGTATTTTCTCAGGGCTAAATAAACAGTAAGGGTTAAGACACAGCTACGGTTTTAAAGCATCACCAGAAGATTATTCAGATTTTTGCAGACAATCATTTCTGCCAACATCAAATTCTAACTGACCTCTTTCTGACACTTCCTCTGTATCCATCAGCAGTCTTTAATATCTGGATACATTGGCCTGGATGTTCCTATTATGGGGTTTATATTTTACTGGTTTTACGATATGATGAAGAGTCAGAATTATTTGCCTTATTACATTATTTCAGCTTCAAATTTATTTCTGGTTCATAATTAGCCAACTGAAAAAAATATTGCAGTAACAGCTGCCAACTGCAGCATCCTAAAATAAAAAAAAGAAAAAAAAAAACCAAAAAACATCACACCATACAAATTTACCATGCTTGCCTTCCTTGAATATCCTTACCAATGGAAAGAAACTGCGATTCTCATCCTGTTTCCATGTTGGCTCACAATTGAGAGCTTTGCCCCAAAACAAATGTTTTTATGTACACAATCAGAAAGCAGTCTCTATCTTATACTGGTTATACCTGAGTTTTACAGTTGTACAGCATTTCAGTAATTGCATGCAGGTATCCCAATCTGTTTCCTTGCTAGGGCAGGAAAATGGTATTTAGGTGTTCAATCGAGGCTATCTATATATATCTATGTAATATTTTAATCCTGTGACCATTGGTATGCTCTTCTGTGAGCTATAGTATCCATGTATGTGTATTTATGTACTTTACTCTTAATGCCTTTTATTTGGGTTATGGCACAATATACCTATGTGGCACTTTTGAGCCAAAAATATAGGGAGACAGTTTGGGATTTGCAGATTAATGTGTATCTAAAACAGTTAATAGGCGAGGATGATCAGTGGTTCTTGCAAGCTGATACATACAGTTTGGTTCACCTTCGCTGGGGTGTGAAGTAGCCAAAGAGTTATGCAGCAGGTCCTTGTAAGTGCCATCTGGATGTCCTCCCTATGCATGGAGAATATAGTAAGCTCCCGTGTAAAGCCCTAAATAGCTTATGAACTGTCTTTAGGAGATGATTCTAACTTGAGCCCTTCAATCGTCACATGAGGCAAGGTGCTCAAATTTGACATATTTGCGTCAACAGTGTTTAGAGTTGAGCCTCTCAATTTAGTAATTCATTAGCGAGGCCCTCCAGTGTGAAGTAGGCGGAGTGTAATAGCTTCCATAAGTTTTTCTTACTCTGACTTTGAAAGAGGGAGAGGCCGGAGGCTGCTTTTATGGGTGGACAAAACGTCAGTGAGAA